GACCTTTTTAAGGTGTTAAACAGCAAAGATGTCACTTTAAGGGCTAAGGTGCACCTGGCTCAAGCCATGGTATTTTCAATCGCCTTATGTGCATGCAAAAAGCTGGATGATGAATAAGGAAGACTGAAGAAGAATTTGATGCCTTTGAATTACGGTATTGGTGAAGAAGATTGAATATACCACGGACTGCCAGAAGATCAAACAAATCTGTCTTGGAAGAAGTACAGCCAGAATGTTCCTTAGAAGCAAGGATGGCGAGACTTCATCTCACATACTTTGGACATGTTATCAGGAGGGATCAGTCCCTGGAGAAGGACCTCATGCTTGGTAAAGTAGAGGGTCAGTGAAAAAGAGGAAGACCCTCAAGGAGATGGATTGACACAGTGGCTGCAACAATGGGTTTAAACACAGCAATGACTGTGAGGATGGCGCAGGACTGGGCAGTGTTTCGTTCTGTAACAGAGGGTTGCTGTGAGTCAGAACCGACTCGATGGCATCTAACAACAAAATAATGATTATATAAGGTATACTCACCAATGTCTCACTTCCATACCTGCCCCTTCCATTGCACATAAGCAACTATCTTAGTTATCTAGTTCTTCTATAACAGCAATACTACAGGTGGATGGCTGTAACAAACAAATTTATTTTCTCACAGTTTAGGAGGCTAGAAGTCCAAATTCAGAGCGACAGCTCTAGGGGAAGGCTTTCTCTCTCAGTTGGCTCTGAAGGAAGGTCCTTGTCTCCTCAGAGCTTTTGCTTCATGTGCTTGGCATCCCTCTTCCCCTGTATCTCCTTGCTAGCTTGCATTTAATCTGTTTTATATCTCAAAAGAGATTGATTCAAAATACATCCTACACTAATCCTGCCTCATTAACATAACAAAGACAACTCATTCCCAAATGGGATTATAACCACCGGCAAGTTGTTGTTGTTGATGTTAAGTGCTTTCCAGTCAGTTCAGACCCATAGATACACTATGTACAACAGAACGAAACACTGCTCAGTCCTGCACCATTCTCACAATCTTGATATGTTTGAGCCCATTACTGCAGCCACCATGTCAATGTGCCATCTCATCAAGGGTCTTCCTCTTTTTCACTGACCCTCTACTTTACCAAGCATGAGGTCCTTCTCCAGGGACTGATCCCTCCTGATAACATGTCTGAAGTATGTGAGATGAAGTCTTGCCATCCTTGCTTCTAAGGAACATTCTGGCTGTACTTCTGAGATAGATTTGTTTGATCTTCTGGCAGTCCGTGGTATATTTAATATTCTTCACCAACACCATAATTCAAAGGCATCAAATTCTTCTTCAGTCTTCCTTTCTCATTGTCCAGCTTTTGCATGCATATGAGGTGACTGAAAATACCATGGCTTGGGTCAGGCGCACCTGAATCATCAAAGTGACATCTTTGCTTTTTAACACTTTAAAAAGGTCTTTTGCAGATTTGCCCAATGCAATACATTGTTTGATTTCTTGACTACTGCTTCCATGGGCATTGACTGTTGATCCAAGTAAAATGAAATCTTTGACAACTTCAATCTTTTCTCTGTTTATTATGATGTTGTTTATCGGTCCAGTTGTGAGGATTTTTGTTTTCTTTATGTTGAGGTATAAGCCATACTGAAGGCTGTAGTCTTTGATCTTCATCAGTAAATGCTTCAAGCCTTCTTTGCTTTCCGCAAGCAAGGTTGTGTCATCTGCGTATCGCAGGTTGTTAATGAGTCTTCCTTCAAGCCTGATGCTTTGTTCTTCTTCATATCTCTCTCCCACCACAGGCCTAGAGGTTAGGATTTACAACACATATTTGAGGGGACATAATTCAATTCATAACAGCAGCCATTCTATAAGTTTGGGATTTTTTCTTCCATTTTTAAAAATAACATAAGCAGTTAAATATATATTTAGATCTCCCCATTACTTATAAGGAAACCCTGGTGCTGTAGTGGTTAAGTGCTACAACTGCTAACCAAAAGGTCAGTGGTTCAAATCCACCAGGTGCTCCTTAGAAACTCTATGGGGCCGTTCTACTCTGTCCTATAGGGTTGCTATGAGTCGGAATCAACTTGATGGCAGCGGGTTTGGTTTTTTTATTACTTATATAGAAGATAGCATACTATAAACAGTTAAGCCTTTGCTTATTTCATTTAATAACATATATAGGGATCGTTCCATATTAGTACATAGAGATCTTCCACATTTCTTTTTACAGCTGCATAGTACTCTATCCTGTGTATGTACTGTAATTTATCCATCTAGTTCTTTATTAATGGACATGTGAGTGGTTTCCAGTCTCTTAATATAAAAATAATGCCGCAATGAATAGCCCTGCACATAGAGCTTTTTGTAATTTTCCATTATATCACTAGGAAAAATTCCTAGAAGTGTAGGATTTGACCTAGGATTACTGGTCAAAGGGTAACACATATGTAATGTGGCTGCATGTTGACAAATTCCCCTGCTAAGACATGCATCATTTTGCTTCCCACCAGCAATGTATGAGAATGCTATCCTCAGGCGTATTTTGATACCATATCAGACTGAGGAGGCTGCAAAGAAGAATCATAGACAAGGTTCCTGTCCTCAGAAACTCTCAGTCTGGTAGGAGAAGGCCTGTGGGCAAACATAATATAATGTACTAAGCAATGGCAGATGTACCCTGAAACTAATGAGTTTAAGCTTCAGAGTCCTTCACTTACAGGGACTCCTTCCAAGCCCCCAACAATGCCTTCATAGGCCCATTTTGTAATATTTTTCCTAAAGAGGCGTTCAAATTATTGAAGCTTTGGGTTCCACAAAACCTGAATCCACCTAAGAGACTTTGGAGTCAACCTATCATTGGGGAGGGGCAGAGGTTTCAAGTTTCAGTTCTGCAGCCTGCTTGACAGAACAGGAAGGGCTCCTTTGATATTTAAAGACAACGACAAATGGAAGAAAAAACCTTCTCTAACCAAAAGAGAGAGCTTCTGGCCCCTCCCCTGACTGATGAAATAACCCCCACAGGTAGCTGTCTACACACAGACTTCCAGAGTTTCTCCCACCACTTTCAAGGGCAGGAACCAAGTCTTGGTTGTCTTCAGAATTCCCAGCAGACAGTTGACAACTGGTACAGGGTGCTCAAGACAAAAGTCTGAACGGATTACAGAGTAGTATGGGAAGAGAAAGGAGCCCTGGTGGCCCAGTGGTTAAGCGCTAGGCAGCTACCTGAAATGTCAGCAGTTGGAGCCCACCAGCTGCTCCAAGGAAGAAAGATGTGGCAGTCTGCTTCTGTAAAGATTACAGTCTTGGAAACCCTATAAGGCAGTTCTACTCTGTTCTATAGGGTCGCTATGAGTCGGAATTGACTCCACAGCAACGGGATGGATAGGGAAGGGTGTTACACCGGGGGGTGGGGGGTAGGGCGATGAAGGTTGTTCAGGGTAGGCACCACCCAGAACAAACACCTTTCGGTCAAATGAGGCTGAGGTCTGTTTCCTCACCTGTAAAACCAGGGTTAGTAATAAAGCCTGCCCTTGTGGGTTTTGGTTAAGATTAAGCGAGATGATTTACGTAGGGCCTAACCCAGTAGAATCTCGATAAAAGCAAACCAAACCCATTGCCGTCGAGTCGATTCCGACTCATAGCGACCCTTTAGGACAGAGTAGAACTGCCCTATAGTTTCCAGGGAGCGCCTGGTGGATTCGAACTGCCGATCTTTTGGTTAGCAGCCGAGCTCTTAACCACTATGCAGCCAGGGTTTCCAGAATCTCGGTAGAAGGTCCATAAATGGGGAATAGAAAATAGATAATTTTTATTGTTCCTTGAGAGTAGGGACAGGGATTCTTTGTACATCATGCCTTATACAGGGCTAGGACGAGCACCAACCACCTTGCTGACAAATAGTAGGTGCAGAATAAATCGGTGGAGAAGGAATGGACGTTTCTGGCTGATGCTTAGTGATCTGTGTAACAACTGAATGACCGATTGGCCCTGGTCTCTGGGTAACTGTTAGTCCCGTGCTGGCTGTCAAGTCGAAGGTGTGCCGGAACCTCACTGACCGCTCCCGCGTAGCCGGATGACTCCGGCGGCTTATGCGCCCACTGACAGTCGGGCCCCGAAAGAACGACGGCTGTCTTCGCTGTCAGTCTCGGCCCTGACAGGCCCTGACGGCCGCCTCTCCCTGCGCGCCGGCTGGATCTCGACTCTCCTCTAGGAGCCCACCGGGGCTGCAGCTGGACAGGGTGTGGGTCCGCAGCAGCAACCAGCGGCAGCGCTGCTGTTCCCTCCCTCCCCGCGCCCCGCAGGGCGCCTCCGACTCCCCGCTGCCGCAGCCCGGGAACAATGAGGCGCCGGCTTCTTTAAGGGAGATACCACCGCGCCGGCGGCACAGGGGACGGCGTCTTCCCAGACGATCGCACCCAGCCCCGCGCCACCGCCGCCTTGGCAGCTGCACTGCCCGCAAACATGGCTCAGTGACTCTGACAAAAGGTGCAGCCTCCCTCCTGGCAGGGCGGACGCCAGGCCTCCCAGCTCGGGCTGCGCCTTCTCGCAGGCCCGCGGTAAAGCTCCGCAGTCCGCAAGCACCCCAGGCCAGCGCAAAAGAAGATGCACCAGGCGTTCCACCCTAACGACCCCCGCACACCTGCCCGCAGCTCGGTAGGTCGGTAGGGGAACAGGGAGGGGAGGCAGGAGGCCGCGGTGCGGCACGCGCTTCTTCAGCCTCAGATCTGCTACTGCAGACAATCCTCGGGGCTGCGGGCCGTGCACGACCGCAGCACCGAGAGGGCGACCGAACCCCGGGCGTGAAGTGGCCTCCCCCTTCTCACGCCCGGTCACCCCTGCGGGGAGGGGCGCAAGTGGTGCGTTCCGGAGTGGGCGCACCTCCCGCAACTCGGTCTCTTCAAAGAAATGGGAAAGAGGTGGAGGCAAGCGGAGCACCCGGTGCGCAACCAATAGGAATAGCTCTCGGCTTCCTGGCTCGCGCTACGGAAAGCCAGGGGGGGCGGGGCCGCAAGGCGTAAGGGGGTGTGTCCGCGCGCACCACGGGGGCGCGCGCGGGCCTCTGACTGGAGGCCGCGGCGGCGGAGGCGCGAGCTGCCGGATAATGGCGGCCTGCAGAGCCCGTGAGAGGGAGAAGCGGCAGCAGCTACCCTGAGGTAAATCTGGCCCTTCGGCGTGGCAGAGAAGCCCTGCTGCAGAACCGAGGTTCCAGCATGTGCCTCCATCCCCAGGAGACCTGTCATAGACCTGTCAAAGGAATCATCCTGGGGAAGGCCTCGCTTTCCCTAGGCCTTCGTGCCTGCACCCTCAGGCCACCGGCCCCAGCTGCGGCCTCTAATGCCCGTGGCCTCTTCCCCAGGCCCCAGCCCTCAGCCCCCAGCACCGAAGTGTGAAGGCAGCTGCAGGACTGACTCCTCGGGGCGAAGGGCCTGGGGAGGATCCCCTCAGGGTTCTATCTGGTCGCAGCCGAGGAGGGGGAGGGCCTGATACTCGGCCAATGAGCGGGGCCCTGAGCCCCGCGCCGGGGAACACCTCTGCCCCGGACCGGCCCTTCCTGGTCACTGGCATATGTATGGCCTGGCCGGCCCGCACCTAACCGCTGGATCAGCCCGGCAGACGTGGAAATGCCATCATGAGTCACTTAGTTTCACACAGGATGCATCGCCGTGGTGTGTTTTGATCCAGAATCTCAAAGGATTTCATAAACACCAACCCTCCCCCTTATTCAGGAAGATGCCCTTACGCATGGGGTTTATATCGAGCTGGAGAGGATATAGAACTGCTTCAAAGATGCATAGTAATTGACGATCCAGGTGGAGTAGGAAAGAATGTCTGCTGTGTATTTGGGGCAGAGGATTCTATGACAGAAAATCAAGCAAATACTAGGAAATACAGTAGAATTTGAAGGATAGATGGCCTATTCGAGGAAGTGGGACTGAGACGCAATCTCAGAAGCTTTCATTTTCTTTTTTTAAATCTCATCTATGGACTTGAAGTAGCTGTTCCCAGTTTCTCAGGCTCTAGGGTCAGTAGCTTTATGTTCCCCCTAAATTGTATATCGTAGAGGTTGTACAATCTCAGGTTACTTTTCTTGCCCACGGTACCCGTGGAACCCGCTGCCGTCGAGTCAATTCCGACTGATAGCGACTCTACAGGACAGAGTAGAACTGCCCCATAGAGTTTCCAAGGAGCGCCTAGGGGATTCGAACTGCTGACCTTTGGGTTAGCAGCTGTAGCACTTAACCACTATGTGCCCATGATAGAAATCTACAAATGAAAATCTGTGCCTGAAGCTCATTGGAATCTTGAAATTCCTAGGGGGTCAGAGGCACACTTTCGACTTTCTTGATCCAACACGTGAGCATTTCTGTGTAGGGCCTTTTGCTCCTGCGTTAAAATGATTTATCAAGTTGAATCCCAAAGAACTCTGTCAGAGGGCCCCTTGATATGTAGGACAGTTTCTGTTGCCCAAAAATGGCCTAGCTATTGTAAAACAACAACAACAAAAAGATAACTATATTCCAAGTAGCTTACTTTCTTTTTAAAGGAACATTATCCTCCACAAACTTTAATTTGAACATTATTCTCCACAAACTTTAATTTGTTTTGCAAGAAATAAGGAAATAAAACTAAAATATGAAAATACATAGTTTGGCCATTTGTTTTTAAATAATAACAGCTAACCTTTTCAGTTCTATAAGTAGCCTGGTTCACTTTTAGCCCTTAAGCACAAGCCAGTTGTTTGTATTTCTGACAAGAGTATTTTTGTTTGTGTATTTTTGTTTTTGTTGTTTTTATGACCTTTTCTGTGTGTCTGTAGCCTTAAGGAGAAGCTGGGGTTTTGTGTGTTTGTTCATTTTTTCATGATCAGTAAATAAGAATCCTTACTTTTTTGGTTTATTTTTAACAGCGACATTTTGAAGCAGTTCGTATAAGAGGCATTATAGTGTAGTGGTTAAAATCATGGACATCAGAGCCAAACAGATGGCCTGGATTCAAATCCCAGTTCCACCAGTTACTAGCTGTTTGACCTTGGACAAGTTACTTAACCTCTCTGTGCTTTAGTTTCCTTTTCTTTAGTTTCCTGACCATAGTAGTACCTAGCTCGTAAAATTATTGCGAGGATTAAATGAATTTAATATTATAAAGTGCTTGAAACAGTTCCTGATACATGGTAAGTACTACATAAGTATTGGCATTATTATTATTATTGTTAAAATGTTTAGATTTTCCCAAGGTATAGCAAATATCTTTCAAGCACGACAGGTGGTGGTGCAGATGATAGCTAAATCACACATAAGAAAAAACACAAGCCAGACATTATTCCTAATTTCAACAGAACACTTTGTTGATTTTTCCAGAAACCTTGACCTTGAAGATGGTGAGTAGCCAGCCAAAGTACGATCTAATACGGGAGGTAGGCCGAGGTAGTTACGGTGTGGTGTATGAAGCAGTCATCAGGAAGACCTCTGCACGGGTAGCGGTGAAGAAAATTCGATGCCACGCACCTGAAAATGTTGAACTAGCTCTTCGTGAGTTCTGGGCACTAAGCAGTATCAAGAGCCAACATCCAAATGTGATTCACTTGGAAGAATGCATTCTACAAAAAGATGGGATGGTGCAAAAGATGTCCCATGGCTCTAATTCCTCACTTTATTTACAGGTATGTGTGGTTGAATGGAGAAGAAGTGATATGAACATAACAATAGTCAGCAAGAAGAGGAATGAAAGGGTCAGATGAACTTTTCTCTTTAAATGCAGGTGTTTATATAGTTAGCAGTAGATAGGGGTCTGCCAAGAATTGAGTAGGTGTTTGGTTTAAAATAAGGTTTTTTTTAAACCTGTGATGCAAATACCTAAAAATAACATAAGCCACCTGTTAAGCCATAGTACTTGCCAGTCTGCATAGGAATGGGGCAAGATGGGCACTAGGGAAGTGTTTAAGACAAGAGCCTAATAAGTTCACTTCCTCAGAATCAATATTTTTTGGAACTAAAGACAGAAGAAAAGGAAAAAGGCCACAACTAATAGCACCCATAGGTAGCTGAGTATCTCTTTTATAGATCACTGGTTTGAACATAAGCCTTTGCCATTTTAGAGGCGTCATGTAGTTTCTTAACTGTGCAATTCCAGTTAATTTTCATGAAGTACGTGGCTGGCACCAGAATATTATTAACAGTGCTAATAGTTAACATTTGAGTTCCTGCTCTGTTCCACATACTGTACTGAGTGCTGTAAAGACACTTGCTCAGAACAATCCTATGAGGAAAGTACTATTATTGTCCTCATTACAAATGAAGAAACTGAGGCTTAGGATAGATAATAAATGTATCTAAAGTCACATAGCTAGCAAATGGGACTTGAACCTAGGTCTGTCTGATAACTAAAGCTTGTGCTCTCTTAAACACTCAGCGATATTGCCTCCAAATTATTCTTTTATAACTTAGGGGAAACATTAACATTGGAAAACAGAAAAGCTTTTTTTTAGGTTGGCTTCTGCCGTAGATCAAAATCTCTAGCAGTTCTATACTCATTGAATAGAAAATATATATAAGACATAGCTAGTTAAAGGCCAGAGCAAAATTTCTTAAGACCAGTCATTCTTAGAAAAGGAAACAACTTTCCTTTAGTCTGTCTAAATTCAGAATTTACCATCAGGGTGCAAAAGTTTGTTTATAAAACAGCAAAAGCTTTTGCACTAGCAGCAACAAAGAAAACAAGCATAACTATCTGTAATTAGAAACTTGTGAGTTTCATTGTAGAGTTAACAAATACTCATCTCGAGGACTTAATTAATATTTCAGTTTAGCACTCTATGCTGTGATGTTTTCTTTCTTAAGACAGTGACTATAAAACACAACTGTTTAGCCTGTATTCATGTTATTGTTTGCTTTTCTAAAAGTGCTTATTACATAAGTTTCCCTGATATCAGGAACTATTGGAGATATTACCACATTCCCTCTTAAAAGTGAATTGAACTTTGCTTTGAATTTTAGAGACTAAGATGCCTAATCTCTTTTGGACTGGAAAAGCAAAGACATTTTAAACATATGACTTAGTCCTGACAGTATCCTTGAGTCTAGATCTAGTAACAATTATGGTAACCAGGCGTTAGCTTGTCTTGTAGATGTAAAGTACTACCAGACTTGATTCATTGATTTTTATATCTAAAGCACCTTTTTTGTTTAGTAAATCTCTTTCATCTTTTAAAGTCTGATAGACTTCTCTTTGACTTTTGACACTTTTTGCTAGCTGTATACAAAACCAAAAACCAAACCCGTTGCCGTCGAGTCAATTCTGACTCCTAGTGACCCTATAGGATAGAGTAGAACTGACTCATAGGGTTTCCAAGGAGCAGCTGGTGGATTTGAACTGTCAACCTTTTGGTTAGTAGCCAAGCTCCTAACCGCTGCGCCACCAGGGTGCCCCTTGCTAGCTGTCTGACCTTGGATAAATAACCCAACTTTTCCAAGCATATGTTTCTTCATATATAAAATAGGAATAATAATTTCTACCTCCCATGGGAGTTATCAAAATTGGGTATAATGTGGATACAGTACAGTACCTAGTAAGCAGATATTTATCAACACATTTATCAAGTGCCTTCTCTGTAAAGGAAATCAGTATTTACATCTAGTAAAAACAACATGAGATCACAATGAGTCGGAATCGACTTGTCGGTACCTGACAACAAAGATAACAAAATAAATTAGGTAGGGTGACCACAAGGTTCAGATGAATGGGCTTCTTCATTCTCTACACACATTTTAATTTTTGTCCATGTTTTTCCAGATATCTCTCCTTGTTCTCAGTTGGAATCATTAAGTCAGTTCCTGATTGCTAAAAACCTCATCTAGAAGAAAATATAGAACACATAATTAACAAAGGACACAACCCCATGCATAGGAACTTTGTGGCCACTTTGTATACTTGTGATAAGTGTCGTGAATGAGAAGTACAGCATGGTATAGGAGCAGGAAACTGTACATACAAAGGTCCTGAGACAAAAAGCACAGAGCTTTCTAAGAATTGAAAGAAGATGGTAAAGCTATAGCATACAGGGAGAGTTGCTTGTAAACAAGGCTGGAAAGGTTAGCAGGGGTCAGAACATACAGGGTCCTGTAGCCCATGTTAAAGAGCTTTGACCATATTCTAGGAAAACAGAGAAACCATTGAAGAACTTTAGATAAGAGAACCAATGACTAACATGCTCTTTACACATGAAAATAAGTAGATTGGGCTCTCTGTGTACTTCTCAACCAGAAGCTGGGAAGTTTAGCCTGTGATCTGTTTTTGTATAGCCTGGATGCTAAAAATGTTTTTGACATTTTTAAAGCATTGTAAAAACTAAGGAAAGAATAGGAAGAATATGGGACAGATACCTTATGTGGCTTGCCAAGCCTAAAATATTTACTATCTGACCCTACTCTAAACCGTTCTTTAAATGCTGGGACTCTGTATGCTCAAAGTTATTGAGGAAGTTTGCTTTCACAAGTAAAGACAGAAGAGAAGAAATGAAGAAAGAGAGAAAAGCGCTGGTTTTTAATCTCAGCACAGTTAGTAGCAGTGCACCTTGTAAATGATTGTGTTGTCTGTACCTTTCCTATTCCTTCATTTTTTCTGTCTCACTGGCAGACATACGCAACAAGTAGAACACATGCAAAAGAAACATCTGCAGACCGTTGCGATTACTGCTCTGGGGTGGGGGTTGGGGGGCAGAGTGGCATGGAGGGGTGTTTTTGCTTCCGCCCTGCTCAAGTGACAGAAGCAAGTACCAGTGGATTAAATGTAAAATTAGCAATTCACTCACCCTTCAACCACTCTTCGGCTTCCCTCCTGAGTTTTACTCAACCCATATATCTGAAAATGACACCATACAACAGATGCTTTCAAACCACTGTATGCCTGCATTTTAGAGTAGTAGTTCATGTTCAGTGAAATAATATTCTTGAATTTCAGGTGACAGGATAGTTATAATTAGACAGTGATAATAAATAAAACTGATTTATTCTAGGTTTTCAGCTTCTGTCAAAGAAGAACTGTACAAGCACAGACTTCAATTTTTATAACAAGATGCGAATTTGATTTTTATAAATTGGTTTTAAAAAGCCATCCAGTGATAAAGACAAAAAACCTGTTGCTGTCGAGTCGATTACAACTCATAGCGACCCTGTAGGACAGAGTAGAACTGACCTGTAGGGTTTCCAGGGAGCACCTGGTGGATTCAAACTGCCAACCTTTTGGTTAGCAGCCAAGCTCTTAATCACTGCACCACCATAGCCAACATAATTTGCATTCTCGCTGTAGAAGTTTGTGAGGTGATAGTGTTGGTCTTTATTTTATCAGTGGTTATAGGAGCACTTTATTTCTGCAACAACTAGTTGGTCTTTGGTCATTTTTCTCTCAGTTGTAGAGATGATATTGATAGTGTATGTTCAATAAGCAAGAAGTATATTTTAGACAGTTTAATTTAACAGACTTTCTTAATTGAGGTTTATGCCCTAGCTGGCACTCTCCCAAGTCTAGCTGCTGAAACTTTGGTCTTTTCATGAAGCTATTAGCTAGGTGAGCAGGGTTCAGCTCCATTGACATGTGTAAAAAATGTGTGGCCAGTTGGATACTCTTCAAAATAAAGCTATGTATAAATAAATTTTTACCTGGCTTCAAGATTTGGTGTGTATTCATTAGGGACAAAGTAACAGTTTGAAATACTGCAATTTAAAATACACATGTGAAAGCACTGACCAAATAGGATATTCATGGTGTTTCCATATAAAATTGGAGACTGACTTTACCTTTGTTACTTTTTTACTGTAACTGAATTTTGTACTACCTATGCAGATGATCGTAAACTGTTTTTTTCTTTTTTTCCTTCTTATAGCTTGTAGAGACTTCATTAAAAGGAGAAATTGCCTTTGATCCCAGAAGCGCCTATTACTTGTGGTTTGTGATGGATTTTTGTGACGGAGGAGATATGAATGAATATCTGTTGTCCAGGAAACCCAATCGTAAAACTAACACCAGCTTCATGCTTCAGCTGAGCAGTGCCCTGGCTTTCTTGCATAAAAACCAGATCATCCATCGAGATCTCAAGCCTGATAACATCCTGATTTCTCAAAGCAGGTTGGATACCAGTGACTTGGAACCCACACTGAAAGTGGCCGATTTTGGTTTGAGTAAAGTTTGTTCAGCCTCTGGGCAGAACCCAGAAGAACCTGTCAGTGTAAACAAGTGTTTCCTCTCCACAGCATGTGGAACAGATTTCTACATGGCTCCTGAAGTGTGGGAGGGACATTACACAGCAAAAGCTGACATCTTTGCTCTGGGGATTATCATCTGGGCAATGCTAGAAAGGATCACTTTCATAGACACGGAGACAAAGAAGGAACTCCTGGGGAGTTATGTAAAACAAGGAACTGAGATTGTGCCTGTAGGGGAGGCACTTCTGGAAAATCCCAAAATGGAACTTCTCATTCCTGTGAAGAAAAAGTCTATGAATGGGCGAATGAAACAATTGATTAAAGAAATGCTGGCTGCCAACCCTCAGGATCGTCCAGATGCTTTTGAACTAGAACTCCGATTAGTACAAATTGCGTTTAAAGATAGCAGCTGGGAAACGTGACACATATATTGTTTGCAAATATCTTGGATGATGTGCTGCTTCTGTTTTAACAGTGATGCAACATTATATGGCTGAAAAAGAATACAAAAAGCTAAACACCTTCTAAGGGTTTAGGTTTTATTGTAGGGTGTTTTTTTTTTCCCCTCGTTTTTCTTAAGTCCAAGTTGGCCATTTTGTTCGTATGTTTTCAGTGTGTATTACCAATGTGAGTGTAAATTTTTTTAGATGATCATTGGTAGAAGTTTGGCAGGAAAATTCTCTAAGAGCCAAGAAAAGGAGAGAGTCCAGTTTTCTGGAAATATGTCTCAAGTATTTTAGACATTCCTTGTCAGTCAGTATTAGAAATTTCCATGGAAGAAGAGGTTTGCATGCTGGTAATGCAACCTTTGAAGCTTTGTAAAGGAAACATATATGTATATATTTATGTATATGTAAGTATGTGAATGTGTGCATTTTGCATTCCATATGAAGAAAATGCCACTTCTGTTTAAATTATTTGATGTAGGTTTGGGTTTTTGAGATTTGCTGGTGAAATCAATCATGGAAAATAAAAGAACCTTCCCTCATCTTCCTACCCTGTTCCTCCCTCTAACGAAATCATACTGTTTTTTTTATTTTTGTAATATTATTCAGCATTTTTTTAAGGCATCATTTTGGAGGGTCTAAAATTATTAAACATAAATGAAACTAAGTCATCCAAAGCTGCTGAAGTATGTTTGAGCTCTCCAGTGCCCTATAGCTGCAGGAGGTGAATTAGTTATGCATTCATGTGGTAACAAGTTGGCAAGGACATTAATGATTCAGTCATACCTTCTTTATGTAACCAGGCATTCAATTAACCAATTAAACCACTGCATTGGGACAGGTCTGCACTTCAGTATCTACAACCTGATATAAATCTGAACACAGGATTCTTCTGTTTCTGAAAACTTTGCTGTATATGAACTATAATACCTGATATGTTAATTTTGGGTTTCAAGACTTTGTCTAAGCTTCAGCATAAAGTTGAAAAAACCAAATGAGCTCTACTCTCATATTGCCTGCCCTGATATGGTCTCTTGTTTAATCACTGGATTTCCTTTCATTTTGGCACTGATGCTGTTTTCTCTTGTCTAATTTGAGACAGTAATGATAGTGATATGGTTGTCTTAAATGTTGATCACCTTTTTCTAAAGTGGGAGGTGATACTTAAACAGTTTGGCAAATGGATACAATATTGTGGCATCAACTATATCTTTCAAATGGAAAAGTTATCGATTGTAGACAATCACTTGGTATGGTCTATGTCAAAAACCAACAAACTATTATTGTTCTTGAAGTTCGTTTGATTTTAATCCTGTATAGTTGTCTCCAATCTTGTTTTTCTGTAAATGCAGATAGTTGAAAACTAAGGAAAGAATGCTTTCCTAAAGCGGAACATTAGCCTTTAAGGTTAGATAGACTTTAAGGCCATTGTATCTGGGTTAATCTTTAGAAAGCACCAGAATCTTTGGTCAAAAGTCAAGCAAAATGTTTAGCTATAAGAATATTGAAGTCATTGATAGTTTCCATAGTCCCCTCAGCCTTTTAAAACTTCCACAACTTTTGGAATATTGCCATCTTATTTTTTTTCTTCATTTAAAATGTATTCAGAAGATAACACAAAAAATTAGAGTACATAAAATTTCTGGACTATGTATTACTTGGTCTGGAAGTGAAGTTTAAAATTTGGACTGAGAGGTTTTACTAAAGCCTCTTAAGATTTAAAAAAAAAAAATGTATACATTTAACATCACTTTCAAGCTCATGTAGGAATTCTTTTGGAAATTAGAGATGGAAATACACTGGAACCTCGTGAAAATGTGGCCCTCTGGATCACCAAATCAATGTAATAGATCTGTCCGAGGGGATTTAGTTACTGGAAATAAGAAAAAGCATCATTATGATGTGGCCTCATCAATAATATGGCACTTAAGCAGAGATTCGTATGTGATGTCATTTGCCCTTTGAATATGCGTGCTTGGAGTCACAGTCTCTTAAGTACATAGCTTTTGGACCTGCCTCATTTAAAATAGTGATCATTTATTTTGAAAGATTTTGCCTGTAAAGTGGAATTCTTTCTTTGGGGGCAGGAACGGTATAATGTGATCAGTCTCTTCTGGAATTTTTTCAAGTCCTTATATTCTAAAATAGCCTGTGATACCAAGCAAAATGATAATAAATTATTTGTCTTTCTTTGTTGTTTCAGTCAGAAAGTATTTATTAGGTACCTACTGTGTGCTCAGCACTAGATGTCAGTTGATAAAATGACATTTAAAAATTGGCGTTTGCTTTAAACCTTAAACCAGAAACACCCCCTGAAGTCTTCTTAAAACCCAACAATACTTTAGCTTAACTAGTAAAAAAAAAAATGTCTGCCTTGAGCATTATACTCTTTTAAGAATTTTCTATATGGGATCAAATTGACAACAGCAACTCAAAAGATAAGATAGGAACCTTAGGTGGCAGAGAGTTTATGTTATTGAGGGAGGAACAACTCAGAAAAGGAGGGTGAGAAGGGTTGCCCAACTCGAAGAATGTAATCAATGTCACTAAATGGTACATGTAGAAACTGTGGAATTAGTGTATGTTTTGCTGTGTATATTCTCAGCAGCAACAAAATGACTAAAATTTAGGGGAGAAAAATTGGCATTTAGCTACAGGCCAGGAGTAGGAAGTAAAAATGATCACTGATACTTGGAAATTCCTGAATATTTGCTAGAGGAAAACTGAAAGCAAGAATTTGGTGCGTTGCCCATAATAGGTACTCAATAAACAATTATTCCTCATAGTAGAGTCTGTTGCCATGATTAATAGCATTTTATTAAATCTGTCTTAATTTTAAAAAGACCAAATACTTCAAATGAGCTTATAGGCAGGTGTGGCCAGTTAAAATATGGGATTGTACAGTTAGTTCCTAGAGTGTTATTTTGCACTAGTTGTCCCTTAGAAAGTTGGGGTTCCTGTAGATTTTTGGTGCTAAGGAATACTTTGTCATTATGATGAAGGAAGTGTTTCGTGTAAGATAAATAGCACACTGAATAGTTCTTTCTGCTGGTCTGTTTCTTCTCTTTGTTGTTTTTAATTGTAAAATATTTTATCAATCAAACTATTGTAGCAGCTACAAAAGAATTCACCAGCATGACAAAATGGTCAAAAAATAAGTCATCAGCACTTCAAAAATGAAAGCAACTTTTGAAATTTTCTTTTAAAATTGTCAAATATATTTTATGAAGAATTTATAAGAGGGGGGAAATGATTGTAATTTATTGTTCATGACAGTTTTTTTTTTTTTTTTTTTAATAAAGTAAGTTTCAACAACGACAAAAAAATCCTGAGAATTCTACGTTGCTGCTTTGGTGGCTCTGTGAGTAGTTCTGTAGTGCTTTCCTTCGTGATCATAAAATAGAGGGAATAAAATTGGAAACAATGTTACTTTCTACCTGAAATAGAAAAACTTGCTGAGGAAAAGATAATTGAACTATAGGAATTTCTTTGAGTATTATTTCAAGTTCTCTAAAATTTTTATGCTCACTCTCCTGCTGTATTTATCAGAAGAACTTGTATTGCCTGAGATAAATTATTTTTTCCATTTATTTCCCTATCACATTAAGCTGAGAATGCATCCAAGACTTAGAATGATGTATAATAAATGTACTAAAAGGATGCAATCTTTTGATCTGTAACTTGAGACCATGGTTTTCTTTTCTATAAAAAGTCAATTGGCCCACTTTTCTTCTATAGAGTTTATTATGTGTGCCTTCTCCAAAATAAAGTACTAAGAATACAGTGTACTTAGTGATTGAATGGCACAGCAGAGGGAAAAATGGGAAACAAAGCATTAACTTGACACATGATCTAGTGACTAAAGCAAGAAAGCAGGCATCAGGAATTGTGGCTTCTTCCGACTTTGCCACCTTCTCCTGGCATAACCTTTGTAGACAGGTAAACTTTGCTTTTGATTTAGAAGTTAATAAAAAAAAATTTGAATCTTAAACTATAAATATTTGTATTTACTAGCATTTTGAGAGTCCAAAGCACCTTCATGTGGTTTTTATGTAACTTTCAGTCAATTTTACTTAAAACGGGCTGATTTCTTGATGAGGAAATTAACAGTAATAAAATCAGTTACTGAGGTAATGGTAATGGTTTTATCCTAGCACTGCTGTTTTTTGTTTTGTTTTGTTTTGTTTTTGTTTTTACTGTTATAAAACTAGCGCTGGGCTGTAGTGCCTAATCTCTTACTCCAGATGGAGTTTCCTCCAACAACAAAGCTTTATCTTTCTCACTGAAGTAATAACTCTTGGTTGTTTTGGTCTTTTCTTTGAATGTAGCTCTTTCGGTCAACCAATCATCACTGTCCTCTATAAAGTGCACTGTAACGGCAGACAGTTGGTTTGTGGTTAGATAATAACTCCTACTTGAGAAACCTATGGCAGCCACACCTCTTGAGGGCAAAGTGTGTCTTTTAAAGGCAGTACTTTCCCCTTTGCGATGATTTTTCATTGGTTAGAGGGCAATTTTTAAAGAAAGTCGTCTGGGCTTTTGATTTCACTCTTTCATTTCCTATTCGGCCCTGGTATTTCAAGCTTAGCTTCTTCTGGGCAGAAGTTAAGCAACTTGATGTTACAGAAGGCTTCGTGGTCTAGTGGAAAAAGCACAGGCTTTGGTGTAGCAGATCTGATGCTGAATATGAGCTTTTGAAAATACCTACATAATTAATGTATGGCACTGGGCAAGCCACCTCACCACTCCTAAGCCTCAGTTTACATATCTAAAATGGAGATGATGATATTTATATTTCAGGGTTTTGTAAAGGTCAGAGATAATTCACATAAAATGCCTAGCATAGTGCCTGATACATCAAGTTCTCAAATGGTAGCCATTGTTATTTTTCATATTCTGATTTTGATGATATGTTGAATGAATGAATGGATTCCCTATGAGCCAGTCTTCAGTTGTAGCTTTGATTCTTCTTCCTTGGGAGAATCTGATAAAGGCACTATATCCTTTCCTTGGGGAAAATGCATGAACTCTTATAAAAATGTTTGCCTATAATTTCAGGGAATTTATGGATCTCTGAAGCTCACATAGACCCCAAGTTAGGGACCTTGAGATGTAGGCTCCACTATGTGTCTCTGCTAAAGCTCCTAAGTCAAAAGTAGGCCATGCATGAGGAGACGACTGAGGCACTTGTTTTGTTTATTTATCTGGGTGCTAGTTATACGAGTGTGTTCACTTTATGAAAATTGCACTTTTCTCTAGGTATGTTATACTTCGACAAAAAAATTATTTTTTAAAAAATTTATGTGCATTAGGCCTGGAGACTGTCATGACAGGTGTTGTCAGAAGCAGAGGGAAAGAACACAGACCCTTTATCTTTCCGTATTAGCTGTGTGACTCCCGAGTTCCTAACCACTCAGATTCACAGTTTCCCACATGTATAAAATAGAGATAATACCTGACTCAGAGCACTGTGAAGATCAAACAAAATGATGCATCTAGAAATGCTTGGCACACACAATGAATGTTACTGCTTCCCATTCCCTTTGGAGAGCTCACTGGGAATGACTCTGGGTTGCCTTTACTGCTGATTTGCACCCCAGGTAGATAGTAGGTTTGTTTGTTTCTTTCTTCATTTAACTTAGCTTATATATTTTTTTTTTTGGAACAATTATTTGAGAAATAGCTTATGTTCCATTACTATAATGCCTTGCCCAGCTCTGCTCCTGCAGCCCTCCATAGACAGAGTTCTCAACTAAAGATTTCCTTAGCCCAAGTTTCTTTCCTCTTTCTGTTTGCTGCTAATGACATGAGTGATAGTAATTCAGGATGTCTGCTGTCTCTCTGACACAGACGTCCATGCTGGAAACTAGGAGAGTACTAATAAGTGTCATGCCTTTCTTTGTCCATTTTTCCTAGCTTCCGGTAGAAGGCAGGAAAGTGTTTACCGGTGTGATTTGAGAGATAACAGTCAAAATGTAGCCCGAGGGAGAATGGGAAGAGCCAGGCAAAGATGGTCAAAACTCTGATGACAAGAATTAGGCTGCCGTGGTTCTCAATCTAAGCTGCATGTTAGAATTTTAACCTGGGGATGTTTTTTGAAAACCAGCTGATGCATTCTGCTTCTGGCTATTATGGAATAACAAGATTTCTCTTCCTGCCTTAAACAACTAAAATACCAGACGAAATACATGAAGCAATGTGCTCAGACATTGGACAACTAGCAACGCAGGACTGTGATCCCTGAGAGAAGGGAATCAAATTAGATGAGCCCCATTATTGCCCTAGCTTACTGCCTGGAGAGGGAAGGGGTACCTAAACAGCAACCAGCCATCTCCTTGAGTTGAGAAGACAGAGTTCAAGGAGGCCACGCCAGTTGAATTCATGCGGCAGAGTATCCAACAGAGAGAAAATGCTAAACAAAGAGCTCTGGACATTTGCAGAGAGTTTTCTTCAAGTCACTGATGACTGAGTGCTGATCAGTACATGCTTGTGAGGAAACTACCTGAGACCAGGAAGAACCACCTGAAAGGCTCAGGCAGGACAATCCTCAGAGCTCACCAAGGGGCAGGAATAGTTACTATTCCTACCAGCCAGAGTGGAAAGACCTCCTCATACATACAGCATCAAGGAAAGTCCTCAGAAGGGTATTGTTCCCGTTGTTGTTTTTAGCTGCTGTCCAGTGGGCCCCCAACCCATGATGACCCATGCACAATGGGATCGGACCATTGTGATCCATAAGGTTTTCAATGGCTG